CACAAGTGCTACAACTATGGTGAAATTGGAAATCTGAGCAAGACCTATCCTAGGCCATCTAAGGAGAGAGACAAATGGACGTGGATAGGGTGGAGGTCATGGTCGTGGTTATTGAGAAGGTGAGTACTGGACAAATTTGATGATCGTAGAAGAGAGAGAGACAAGTGTGATTTTTACCAATGAGGATCATGAATGTTTAGAGTTGCTGAAGAGGAAGCAGAAAGCAATAGGAGATGGGGTTGAAGATGTTTCCAACCAATCATTATCAATGGATAACATTGCCACTTATGTTCACTCCAACAAAAATACTTGTGATATACATGCTCTTGTCTCTATTTTCACAAGAGGATCATCAGATTGAATAGTAGATTCTGGTTTATCTCAACATGTGACAGGTATTGTAAGAGAGTTTTCTTTTTATACTTCTCTAATAGTACCAGAGAACATCCCGATTGCTGATGATATAACACAACTTGATGTTGGTAGGGGTAGAGTGACGGGGTATTAATTATAGAATTTTGTCCAATATTTTGCATGCTCATTCTTTTATAGTGAACTTTTTATCCATAGATGTCATTATTCTCAAACTAAAATGTGTTGTTTTGATAATACTAAGGTGATCTTCCAAGAAAAAAAGAACAGGCTAGACACTTGAGACAAGAATGTGCCATAGTTAGCTCTGGTACTTGGTACGACAAGGTATGGACTCAGCTTTCACATCCATGGTAGAGAGCGTTGGAGTAGGGAAATCTTGGGGGAGTGTGGAAAATGTGTTACTGCTACATCACAGATGCATATGATATTCTAGTTTTAGTTTATTGAATCAGTTATATCCTTTTTTTTGTATGAAAAAATAAACAAAAGCTTATTTACATTGATCCTTATGAGTTTGGAAAGCATATTATGCGCTCTAATATCAGTTTTGGGAATAGGAGTTCTGATGGTTTTTACTTGATACATTCTCATGTCTGGGGACTTTGTTATACAAATTCTATGAATGATTATCGATATTTTGTAATCTTTATTGATTACTTTCTCGTGTTACTTGGTTATATTTGATGAAAAATAAGTGTGATGTGTTTTCTTATTATAAAAACTTCTACAAAGCAATTCAGACTCAATATGTTGCAGTAGTGAAAGTATTAATGTCTGATAATGAGACAAAATATACCAACAAAACATTTGATAAATACTTGTCAGCATAAGTGATACAACATCAAATCACATGTCCATACATACTGGCATAAAATTGAGTAACAGAGAGGAAATATAGACACCTTTTAAAGGCAACCCGAGCACGATTATCAAAAGGATTGCTCCAAAATACCTATGAGGGAAAACAATTTTGATTGCCGCTTAATGGATCAACAAGTTACCCTCGAGGGTGTTGAATTAGAAGTCTTCTTATCAGATGTTGAGAAGAAACAATAGCGGGATCGTTCCATTGAAGGTGTTTGGCTATGTCTAATTTGTGAAGAATAACAAATCATCAACAGGTAAGTTGGATCCCAGAGATGTAAAATGTGTGTCTGTAGGTTATTTTGCTACCTATAAGAAGTATGTCTGTTGGAGCTCGATAAACAAGGAACAGTTTGTGAGCACGAATGTGTCATTTAGAGAATTTGAACCGTACTGCACTTATGAGGTGACTTCACTCTTCGGTGACTTGTCAGATACTAGAGATATGAGGTAAGGTGGCGTGAGTAATAATGGAGAGAGAGTGGCACACATGAGAGTAATGTATTGTCCTCTGATGTTGGATGAATCAGTTGAGGAATAAAAAAATAAGGAGAGTGAACGATGAATTAATAGACTTCAAGCTGAAGGTAAGTTTAAGGTTTATACTCATAGAAGAAAGCGAAATGTAGGAACGGTTCCTGTAGTGCCACTTGTGCCAGCTAGTCTCTTGTCTCGGTCTTCCCCGACCCTTGAGATACCTACACCATCCACCATCGACTAGGAACTTTCAGGTAATATGATTCCTCCTCCTCTTAACCACCCAACATTAAGGATCTTTCGCAACAATGCGAGACATCCTCCTAATTATTTTTGGGTGGGAATATGACAATGCTAACTTTGTTTCATATTCTAATATATCACTTCTAAATGAAGCATTCATTACATCTTTGGAAGTTGTCTCTATACTCAAGTGTTGGCAGATTGCTAAAAGGATCTCAAGTGAAAATCAATGATGCATGAAGAGTTTAGGGTTCTCGATAAAAATCGAATATAAGAGACGTGCCATCACCAGTGGGGAAAAAGACAGTTAGTTGCAAGTGGATCTTCACAGTGAAACAAACTCCAAAAGGGAATGTGGAACGAAACAAAACATAATTGGTGGCGAAAAGATGCTGTCAGACATATGCATTGACTATGATTAAACATTTGCACTAGTTGCAAATATGAGCATGGTGAAGACATTGATTTCTTCAATAATAAATGGTGGGTGGAGGTTACACCAACTTGATCGAAAGAAAGCATTTCTTCATGGTAAGTTACTGTATGAGGTATATATGAAGATGCCACCAGGATTCAGTATGGTCCAGACAGTGGGCAAGGTGTGTAGGATTAGGAAGTCATTGTATGACTTAAAAGAGTCTCATCGAGTCTGGTATGACAATTTTAGAAAGGCTATGATGGACATGAGATATCATTAAATCAATGCAAATCATATTATATTCTTTCGATAACATGAATGTCACACCACTGTACTTGTTGTGTATGATGATGACCTGCTTATCGCCGATGATGACGAGACAGAGATTACCCAAATAAATGTAAGATTGGGCAATGAATTTAAAATGAAAGATTTTTGACAGCCTAAATACTTTCTTGAGATTGAAGTGACCTCGGACCTGTGACTTGAGGGGATGGCGCGACATGCACGTAAATCTTGCTTAATTTAAATGCCTGCAACTCTGCAAGCTAAACAATAACTAATTTTAATCCAGAAAGGCTTTATTCATGTTAAATGCTTAATTTCCTACATCTAATAGCAATGATCAAAAGGCTACCAACATTTTCTAAAGTTTATCCCACGCCTATAAACGCCAGCAGTTTTTGCCAATAAATCAGATTACGAAACTAGATATTTCCAGAAATCAAACATTCTCAATTGAGATCAAAGTTAAACTATCAAAAATTTTGCTTCGAATAAAAGCTGATATAAAAAATTTTGGGCGAAAGAAGACTTAAAAACTCACAAAGCCGATTTAATACCTCAGATTTTAAGAAGACGAAACAAAATCTTAAGGAAACCGAGAAAGTTAAGCTTCATACATGGAATTGATTCTCTAACCTGCCAGGGAGATGGCAGCGCCGGCGATGGTGCGGAAATGGGGAAATGGGGAAATGAGGAAAGTAAGGGGCAGTGGGGTGCACTTCGTTCTGGATAAAACTGGATATTTATCACGGACAAAGTTTGGGTTAAATTTACATTCATACCACCCAAGTCTTATGTATTTACAGATATAACACCGAGATTGTCTTTTTACATGTATACCAGCAAAATCTTCAAATTTACATAAAACACCTCCATTTTTTTTTAAAAGTTAAAGTGATAACTGATATTTGTGTAAAAATCAAGGTTTAGATGTGATATGTAAATGTATAAGAGTTGAGTGTTATGTATGTAAATGTTCTAATGAATAAATAAGAAGGATTTGCATATAAATTTGGCTCTCATCATTATTTTTTTATGAATTTGCATATCTAATAATCAAAATTTTAGCAATCATTTAACATAGCATAAAAATATCACCAATATTACATTTTAAAAGTGATGCATTTTCTCACACTTATATTCTATAACAGTATCAAAGTATTAAATAAGAAAATAATAAAATTTGGATATTAAATATAAAAATACATAAGAATTAAAAATATAACGAGAGACGAAATTCAATAAATTTAAAATATTGAATAACTCGTATACATTAGAAGCCCATTGACGTCATCTAATATAAAAGTAATTGTTATATATGACGACCGCAAGTCCGAGCAACGGTCGGATGAGCTGCCGTATGATCTATGATGGTGTGGCCGCATCAATGTGTGGTCAGCTGCAAGTAATAAATTTCCATAAACTTTCATATATAAAAGAGAAATTGATGATGGAACATTACAAATTACCAAAACACTTATTAAAGACCCATTTGGGACAACTTATTTGGTGCGGTGACGTTTTGAGCCCATTTGGGGCAACTTATTTGGTGCAGTGACGTTTTAAAAATGCTGAAAATAGAGTTTTCAGACCGCAACTATTTATGTGAAACTACGTTTTGCAGCTTATGCATTTTCAAAACGTTGAAAACACGTTTTCATGTCGCACCTATCTAGGTGCGGTGACAATTTTTTGGCAGCAGTTTGACTTTTCCAAAAAAAATAAAAATTTATAATAACCACATCACCTAGCTTATGAACATATTATTTTTAATAAACTTATCAGCAGATTATGCAATAAGCTACAACTGCCTCAAACAGACCCTAAGCCTTGAGAATTGAGGTGACACTTTTAGAAAATAAAGATGCCAAGCAGCTGACTAAAAATTAAAATTTAAATTCAAATTTAAATTCAATTCATCACATGATAAGGACTCAAATTTGACTTTTTAAAATTCTTCATTCCCTATTGGCAGATTATTGATTTTTGAAAGTACCTTTTTTAAATGTCAAAATCTCTCTTGTTTTTAGATATCTGACAAATTTCTTATGTATTTACATATTTGACCCCCAAACTTTTATATTTATATGCTTAACATTCGAATTCTCAACATCACATAAAAAAATAACACCAATAATAACTTCGAAAAAAATGAATTACACCTTTCTACGCGAAGGCATGTTATATCAAAATGATGGGTAAATATCAATCTTTATGTGTTAGTTATATAAATATATATGAATTCTATGGTATATATGTAAATTTCCTAAAACATATTTATTAAATGACTTTCATTATTTTGATATTTGAGTGAGAGTTTAAAATAGATGAAAGAGAGGTTTTGTAAATAGCAATGTTTCGGGTGGCCTGTATGTAATTGCCGCATTTAAAGCAAGTTCATATGAACATGTAAGGGTTTAACAAAGCAGCATAAATTAAATTTCTAAGCTTACTATTCAGACGTAAGAATATAACAAAACAGCATCTAAAAATAAATACAAAGCCTTTCTACTGGCTGCAGATGTATATTGTTCTGCCACAATTGGCTCACCAACTTGGTTCACCGCATGGCATGAAAAATCAGGCACATTTAACCCTCTATAAGTTTAACATTAGAGCTGCACCATCAATTGAAGATGTAATTTAGGATTAACAAAAAAAGGAGAGAAATTTACATACATGCCACAAAATTCTTTTTTTGTATTTATATATCTAATCTTATATAATATTTTAATGTGTCAATCATTTATGCATGAGAAGATGTATTTCAAATTAAAAAACCTAGAAATTTTACATAAAAATAAAAATTCTTATGTATTTAGATATCTACACCTAAAGCTTGATATTTACATTTATAATACTTTGGTATCATAAACCTATGAATGAAAATATCTTCACTTTTAAAAGGCTAATAATGGTGGTATATTTGAAATGATAATAAATATTTAAGTGTGGTGCTCGTTGTTGTATTTAATGATTTTTATTTTAATTGATTTGTTTCTTTTATTTAGTTTATTTCCTAATATATTCTGGTCTTGCACTATAAAAAGAGTTCGAGGGTATGTGGGAGGGTAAGAGAGGCGGAAAGTGAGAAGAGTTGAGTTGTAACTCTAAGCCGTTTTTCTTCCTCTCCATCCAAGAAAAATTTGCCTAAGACGTGGTTATTCAGAGGATATTGGGTTATATCTGCGTTATACCCCATGTAACCTCTATTTAACCTACATGTAATCTATTTGTACCTTATAGTAAGTTTTGCACTTCTGTTTTCATATAATGGTAGGTTATAGGTAGGTTATAGAGAAGATACAGGGGGTATAACGCAGATATAATCCCCCAATACCCTCTGAATAACCTCCTTGACGTACCTAGCACTGCGTATGTCTTACATACGCAAATTTTTCTACATCCGGTGCTAATCTCCCAGTGGACAGGACATAAGCTAATCGATGTAACGCCGAACCACATTAATCTTTGTGTTTAATTGCCATTGTTTGTATTTCTACGTTTTCGCATAATAATTGAAATCATAGTTTGGGGCTCGTGATCTAAGTGTGATTTGGCGTCGATGGCAGAGCGTATTGTCGGCATTTGTGCAGCACGCGGCCCAGCGTGTTTTGCCGACAGCAGCAGTGCCGGAGAAAGATTCCCGCACGGTTCGCCGACAGTTGAATTGTTGTAGGAGGTGGCTCAGGCGTGAAGCGGTTGTGATTCCGACAAGTGCAGCAGTCCGATGACGGTTTGCGGCGGTCTGGTCGGATCCGACACTCCGGCAGTGACTCCGGCTGCTTTCGGCGGTCCACGGGCTGTGTTGGGGGGGGGGGGCGGGAGTCGTGCAGTTCGGCTTCCAGCGACAGCAAGTCCGCACTGGAGAGAAGCTGGATAAGGAAAGTTTCCTTTTGTGGTAAAGGAATTTCTCAGTGGAAGGAATTTCGGATTTCGGGGAAGGATAAAAGGCTAACCAGGGAAAATCAAACTGATTTATTTTCTTTTTTGCCACAAAAAAATTTTCTCCTCACGTGAAGCTGATGAGGGAAGGGAAATATTTGATTTTTTGCTTCCGCTTGCGTGGGAGGGGGAGCCCAAGAGAGAGTTTTTTAAAAACAAAAAGAGCAATTTTGGAGTTTTGGGAATAGAAAAAAAGAAATAAAAAAAAGAAATTTCAGAAAAAAAAAGGATTTTTTTTTTAAAATTTATTTCTTCAAATAACCCTTTTTTTGTTCGACTCTTTTTAACTTATTTCAGCTAAAAAGAGAGTTACTATTGATGAACATTTGAATGACTTTACAAAATTGTTGACATATCTCTTAAATTTAGATGGAGAGGTTGGAGATGAAAACAAGGCGTTTCTTCTGTTGAATTCGCTCTCAAATGAGTAAGAAAACTTCATTATGACACTCGTTCATCAGAATAATGCATTGAATATGGTGAAGTGACTACGACACTGTTTAATCACGAGTTCTGTTGAAGTGACAAAAAGTCTATAAGGATGGAATCCGTTGAGACACTTACACTCCAAAGTGACAGATCTGAAATGAAGAATTGGTAAAAGAAGTATGACAGCGGTGACACTTCTCAAAAGAGGGACATCGCGCAGTCTTGAAAAAAATCAATGTGCTTTCTGTTTAGAGACTGGTCATTGGAAGAAAGATTGTCTGAAACTGAAGGAGAAAAAAATGAAGTTGCATCTAAGGCGAAAACCAATGATCTTGTAGAAAGATGTGGAGGTGGATTCAGATGTATCAGCCGCAGTTTCTCAAAGTTTGTTTACAGATAATTCGTGCTAGATTTTGGACACTGGTGTTACCTATAACATTTGTCCCCCATCGAACGTGGTTCTGTACTTACAAGGAGCTGGATATCGGTGCAGTGATTATGGGCAACGATCAAACTTGTCGTACTATTGGTGTAGAGAATATCTTTATCAGGATGCATGATGATGTAGTGAGAGCGCTGATTGATGTTAAACATGTTCCAAATATTAGAAAGAATTTGTTGTTAGTTGGGGTTTTAGAGTCTAAAGACTACAAGATAGTTATTGAGGTAGAAGTTTTGAGGATATGTCGAGTTCGTCATCACAATCTTTACTATTTTCAGGGCAGTACAATGACTGAAACAACCGATGTTATTAATAATTCTTCTGATGCCACTATATTATGACATCTACGGCTAGCTCATGCTGAAGAGACTTCACTTCAGACTTTGGTGAAGAAAGGATTGAACAAAGGAGCAAGTACCTGCAAGCTAGATTTTCTGTGAGCATTGACACATGTATCTTTTGAGACTGTCATCCATAGTACAAAAGATATTTTAGAGTATGTTCACACAGATGTTTGGAACCCGACGAAGACATCATTCAATGGGAGAAGATTCTTTGTCTCTTCTATTGATGATTACCCCATGTACGTTTGGGTGTATACCATTAAACACAAAAGAGAAGTGTTGGAGATTTTCATAACTTGGAACAAGTGGATTGAGACTCAGACTAGTAAAAATATTTGGTGTATCAGATTAGACAATGAGGGCGAATACACTTCGAATGTATTCTTACAAGAGTGTCAGAGAGTTGGGATAGAGCACCGCTTCTTTCCTCGAGACACCAAAGCAGAACAGGGTGACAGAGAGGATGAACCGGGCTTTGGTGGAGAAAGTTCACTGTGTTATCCAATGTTGGATTAGATATAATTTATTGGGCCGAGGCCATATAAAATGCTTATCACTTGCTGAACAGTCTGAACTATTAGAAAGAAGACCCCAAAGGAGATGTGGTCAGGAGATCGTGCTAAAGGTTAGGAGCACAAGAGAGTGTTTGGGTGTCCAACTTACCACCACGTTCAAAATGATAAACTGAAATCACAACAAAGAAGACGATCTTTATTAGCTTCAATCGTGGGGTTAAGGGCTTCAAGCTCTATGATTTATCAAAAGGAAAGATTGCATTAGTATGGATGTTACATTCGACGAGAGAAGCTTATTGAAAAATCGGGACTCAAAAGCAAGTTGAGAGTTCTACTGGGACTACAGATATGCAACAGAATTTGAAGTTTGATGCAACTCCATTTATTTCACAGATTTCATCCACCCCGACTCCGATATCCGATTCAGTTGTAGCTCAGAAGGTATCTGTTGATAGTTCTCAGGAGGTGAAAGAAGATGTTGTGGTTGAGATTCCTAATCGAGAACCTATTGCTAAGAGTAGGACCAAGCGCCAGAATGTCCCAAAATTAGCTTGGTTGAGGGATTACATTGCATTTGCACTTTCAGTTACGATGGCAGAAATTCCTCGTCATTACAAAGAAGTAGTGCAGAGCCCAGAATTTGATTTTTGGAGAGCGACAATTGATTAAGAGATTGGGTCTCTTTAGAAGAATGATACTTGAACGATGATGAAACATCCTCCAGGAAAGAAGAGTCATCGGCTGCAAATCGGTGTATACAAAGAAAGAATGATCTCACGAAGCGGGTGAGCATTACAAGGCAAGATTGGTGGCAAAAGTCTTTGTGCAACGAGAACTGGTTGATTATGATGAAGTGTTCTCCGCAATGGTCAAGCATCCATCAATCCATGTTCTCTTAGCACTTATAGCACAATACGGTCTAATCTTGGAATAGCTCGATGTGGATATTGCATTCCTATATGGAGAATTACAAGAGGAGATCTATATGTTGCAGCCGTCTGGATATGGAGCATTAATAGACTTGGTTTGCAAAATGGACAAGTCTTTATATGGGTTGAAGCAGTCACCACAACAGTGGTATAAAAAATTTGATGAGTTCGTGATAAGACAAGAGTACACAAGAGATAGTCTGACCATTGTGCGTATTTCAAGTTGGTCAACGATGAGTTCATTTACTTGCTTTTATATGTTGATGATATGTTGATTGCATATGGTAGTCAGATTGAGGTTGATAGGATGAAGAATCAACCGTCTAAACATTTCGAAATGAAGGAATTGGGTGAAACTCGCAGAATTCTTGACATGAAGATTCTCAGGGATAAAGCAACAAGAAAGGTTTGGCTTTTGCAGAGAGTTTATCTTCAGAAGGTGCTGAAGAAATTTGGGGTTGATGACTCGAGAAAGACAACAAATCTACCAATTGCATCTCACTTTCAGTTGAGTTCAGACTAGTGTCCCAAAAATAATCAGGAAAGGAAAGATATGCGAGCGGTTCTTTATGTTTGAGCAATGGGCAGTCTGATGTATGTCATGGTTTGTACTAGACCAGACATTACACAAGAAGTTGATGTTGTGAGCAGGTTTATGCATGATCAAAGAAGAAGTCATTAGCAGGCTGTGAAAAGTATTATGATGTATCTGAAAGGTACAATTGATGTTGGCTTGGTGTTTGAGAGACAATCATCTAGTACAATTTGTGTATAGGCTACACTAACTCAGAATATGTAGGTGATATTACAGAGACAATAAAGGAATATGTAGGTGTTACTACGAAGACTGAGTACATGAAAGTTACAGAGACAATAAAGGAAGTAATATGAATGCATGAGCTTATTAGATGACTTGGGAGTTGAACAAGAGTCTCTAATGGTGTTCTGTGACAGTCATAGTGTGATATTCTTGGCTACAAACCAAGTTCATCATGCTCATACCAAGCACATTGA